CTGATTGGCACTCCAGAGTAACCTGCTGAGTTGTACACTGAAATTGGATTCAAGTGTGGATGAGTTAGTTATTTTTTCTGTTCCTCTATTTCCCTACCTCCAGCATGGGGTTAAAAAGTTTTGTGTCTGCATTATACTTTGTGGTCTGTGTGCAGCAGGGAACTAAGACCGGTGTCAACAAGGCAACACTGGTTCCAGTTTTTAGGGGACAGTGGTGATTTGTAAAATGGTGAGGAAGAGCAAGAGAAGAAGAGCAAGGGAAAATTAGGAAATCAGGAAACAAAAAGAACTAACAAACCAGACCACCTTGCAGAAAATGTATTTATATTGATGTTCACTATATAACGGTAATAGCATTACTAATTCCAAAACACTGGCTTTCATTATTAAAAACAAGAAGTTATGATGTTTCAGTAATTATTTTAGGTTGATCTGGGAGTATATTCTTTTCCTGGAGCTAGGTAGCATTTTAAACGTGCAAAGGATTAGACAGACACAATCAGTTCAAATATTTGTCCAGCCATTGAAAGGAGGATCCTCACTTCCGCCTGTGATGAGGCTCTGGAAAACTCCATCTCCATCATTGTTCAGCAGCTAAGTGAAGACTGCATGTTGATTACCCTTTCAGTTGCCTTTAACAGCTTATGTGAAATGTTAAGTTCTAAGTTACCTAAAATCCCTGCTTTTTAATTTGTTCCCTGGCCTGTATGCAGCAAAGCAAATCTCTGTGGGTTTATATGTGCACACACAAGTTCATACATGCCCCCTGATAAGAGCCAGCTCCTTCCAAACATGAACTGCACTGAGCAGAGCTTAAAAAAGGTGCAGGTGGAACAGGAGCAGGCATTCCCATTAATCATAAGATCATTAAAAGAAAAATAACAATCTGCTTGCTTAGCTGAGTCAAATCGTAGCTATGCAACTTAGCACAAAGCATCCGAGTTTCTACACTTTGATTTAAAGCTGATTCCACTGCCTCCCTCACATTTTGAGATCCTCAGAAAAAAATAGGAGAATCTATTATTATAGATTAATATACTTATTATTAGAATTATATTATAGTATACTTTATAATTTATTTTATTTACAAACCCAGGATTCATTACATAGATACATAGCTTTTGTGTTTACATAGATACATAGCTTTTGTGATGGTGTTGCTGAGCTCCATCTCCTGACAAATATTTGCAATTGGGTTTTTTTCCTTCAAATATTGCAACTTTAAAGAAGTTGTTAGCTTCCTTGTTGCAAATCTTATGTTTGCTCTTGTTTGTATTTAATTGCTTGGGAATTGAATGAACCATTTTCAGAGCTAACAGGAGGCTTGCATGCTGAGTTGCTTGTTCCACCATACCTTCACCTGACAGTTTTGACCATAATTTTCAAGGCTTCTGTGGTTTCTCACTGGCCTGTATTTTCATATCTGCCTGTGTCCCATTCTGGTATTTTGCAGCAGATCATCAACTTGTATGAGCAAGGTATCATTTAACAATATTGACTCACTGCATTGGGAGAAATCTCTTGGGGTTTATTCCCAACACACTGAAAGCCCACCAGACCTACCGGTCTGAAACGACTCTCACAGTATCATCAGGGCATTTTATGTACAACCTCCACAGAGGAAATATACTTCTGCATTTCTGAGAATAAAGAGGAGGAGAGCCTGTGGGAAGTTGGAGCTATTTTTCTGCAACCTGCATCTCAAGGAGCCACTTGAGAGCTGTGTTTGAAGACAGCAGGTTTATGGCTGCTCCACAGAAAGTCTCAATAGTAGTAGGGGAATATTTGACTAAATAATGTCAAAGCTGGTAGAGACACCACAATGGGTTTCCACTGTGTATTTTTGCCCAACATGAGAGGCAGACACACTTACCCTCTGTGAAGTTCAAAGAGGCACTTGACAAAGTTGGGTACCTATGAGTTTAAATATAAGTGGGGCCTCACCTTCTCATGCAGTAGAATAATTTATTTTCACATGGCTCATAACACAAATTATTTATGGCCAAGGAAAGAAAATAGTGGGGATACAGACTTTTTGCAATTTCTCTGAACCAGTTAGACATGATACATACAGCTGGATACTGCTCTCTTCCAAGTGAAATGCAGCAATGTGCTGCTCTCCACAGAGTGAAATAATTTTTACATGCCTTGTCAGTCTTGCTATGGTCATGGAAAGAAATACAGTGAAAGCAGAGATATTGGCACTGTTTATGTTATTTAGAATGTTTTTGCAGCTACAGTTTTGACCTCTCTTCTGTTTTGATGGTCTGTGTTTCAAAAGGTCATGTCATGTTTTCCAGTTACAAGAAATGAATAAATACTTTCTTTTCCTGTGGACTCTCACAGGTTTTAGTCAGATCCTCGTTCAGAATTATTCCAAAGAATTGCTGGTGTAAAGCTAATATGCTGCATTGTCAGTGGAATGACAGTTATTAACAGCCTAAAATCTGCACTCTGATGCCAGCAGGGTTTCATTTTTGCCCCTTATGGTCAAGAGAGACACAGAAAAGAGACTGGAATTTGGAATTTAACATGTGAAATCCAGGGGCCATAATTTAAAATATCAATCATTACTCCAGAATGGTGTTTGACAGGCTGCAAGTAATTTCTACTTCAAGCAATCTCAGGCAGCAGAGTAGCCCAAAGGTCATGTTGTTCTTATCACGAGTAAAAGATACTTTCTTCATGATGGATGACTGTTCTGTGTGTTTACGATGCATAACGTATTAGTAATTTGAATTCACAATTCCATTTGTCCTACAGTTTTGTCAGGGCATGCTAAACTGTAGTTAGGTACACCTGTGCTCTGCTAAAGATGGGGACTTTTTGTGGTAGTCCATCCTAACACCCACCCCACGGTCCCAGTTGCACATTAGGGAGCTGAGAGGAATCACTTCTACAAAAGGAAATGCCAGGCTGCAGGAATTGGGCCAAAAATTCTTGTCTTTTCACTGCCAGTCTTGACCTGTGCAGATGATCACAGCTGAAACCAAAAGGGTTGCTGCCTCCAGTCTCATGGTGTTATGAAGAGGTAACCCTCAGTGTGTTCTTCACCAGATCTATCAGGTTGGGAGCCCAGGGTTATCTGTAGCTGGCCAGCCAAATCCCAGAACTGGAGCACCACAGACAACAAAGAGACTCCTGATTTTGGGGCACTTTGAGATCTTTGTTACCCAAGACACAAAGATTTGAGCTTGCTTTGCACAAAGCACTCAGGGTGTTCCACAGCTGCTGCCTGCAATTTACCCTCTTCTTTTTATTGGGTTGAATGCAAATGCCATTCCTCTGCAGAACCAGACACAAAAGTAATAAGCAGTAGTATTAGTTCAGAGGGTCTGACAACAAATTTCCCATCTCCTTGCCACAAGTGCAACTCGTAAGAAAACATTTATAACAATATACACTGTTCTTGCTTATTTGAGCCCTGGACATATTTCTGTCAATGTTTGTGCAACAAAGTGCTCTTTAGAAATGATGGCTGAATTTGCCTCTCAGCTGTTCAAATTTTTAGATTTACCACCTCACTGCTCTTGCTGCAGTTTATATTTTGCATGCAGAAATGTAGTAAGCACCATGCCTCGTTTCCATGTTGGAATCATATGTTTCCAAAAATTAATTAATTACTTTCACTAAGAATCCTGCTGAATTCAAATAATTTTTAAAGCATGTCCTTCATTCACCATCATCTTGCTAGTTTTGATAAATTCCCATCTTCATATGTTAGACCTTTTGGCATCTAGATTTGCATTCTGCAAGATTTGCTCTTTAAATGGCCAGCTGTTACCTCAAAGTTTCAAAGATCTTATAGCAAGAAGCTTTTCAAAAGGAAACATTGCTCTCCATTTAGCTCCCTGAAAGATCTTGTTTTCAATTCCAGAAGTGGGAAGCCAAGGCTCAATGTCATATTACTTCTTCACTGTATGCATTCTAATATATATATATATATTGGCACTGTTCTTCTCCTGAAAAATAATAAAAGTACTTTTTCCCCCCTTTTTCAAATAAACATAGATCCATGGTTTTATAATTGGGTGAGGATGGAAACATACCCTGTAGTTCAAATGAGGTTTTGTGGCCTGTTATATACTTCACAACCTTTTATGGATTGGAAAAGGTCATTCCAGATCTTCATAACCTTTGGGAGAAGTTAAAAGGAGTGGGAAGTAGAATCATCAGTATGAAATTCAGAACAGAGGTCTTATCAAGTTCATCAGTCCACTTCAAAATTACTATTTGAATTAAGCGCCATTGATCTCTCCTTCATACCGTGTGTGTGTGTGTGTGTGTGTGTATATATATATATATATATATATATATATATTATATATATATATGGCTTTCAAATAAAGGCAATAGGTGCTCTGTCTTCAGAATAACTGAAGAAGGAACATTTCACATGCACTCATAGTTCCTTTTCTGCTACACCAAGTGAGAAAAGTTTGATACATAAAAATGGGTGACACACTGTGTCACTGAATAATGAGCAAAATAACATATCATGCTCATTCTGAGAAAGTGTATCCTTGCATTTGTTTGTAAGGATCATGGAAGTATTTCTTCAGTATTCAAGTGTCTTTTACTTCACGTTTGTTATTTCTTCAATTTTTTGTGTGTTCTTATGTTTTGTTAGTTCCTATACAGGGTAAAACTATTCACATCCTTCCCAGGTTGAAGTCTGCTGTCAGGCAGAGCACTCCATCTACAGAGAAGCTCCCCTGAATGTTCCTTAACACCAAAGTACCTCAGCTTGGATGATCTGTTGGTTCCAGTTCTGAGAGAAACACCTCTCTCTCCTGAACACCTCAGCCCATACCTCTCCTTGTAAGCTTTGTGAGATAGGTCTGGGAAGGGACACATCTCAGCAGCCTGGTTCCTGACAGGGACCGCAGCCTCCTTGGGGATCTAAATATTCCTGTATTCCTGCCCTGAATGACTGAATTGCTGTCACAAATTAAATTTTTGCTATCATGAACTAAATCTTTGCTGTTCATTCTTTGCAGATATTGATGAGTGTTTGGTAAACAATGGTGGCTGTGACCATTTTTGCCGAAACACAGTTGGCAGCTTTGAGTGCAGCTGCCAGAAGGGCTATAAACTGCTCACAGATGAAAGGACCTGCCAAGGTAATAGCTCATTAACCTTACTCTTCATATAATGAGAATGTTATTTCCAGTGGATTTTTTTGTTGTTGTTTTTATACTTAAGTCATTTGTACTGCAGGTTTTAATTGTACTGTCATGGGAAGTAAGGTTAGAAAACACCTCTGAGATTTCTGTTTTCTGAGGTGGAATTAAAATATTATTGCAAATGTCTTGTTTCAATGTTTTTAGTAATAGGAATGCCACTGTCCTGTTGAAGTGTAAAAATCCAAGTGGTGTAGTGGAATAGCCTCAGGCGGAGAGTCTTATGTTCAAATCCTCTCATTTGCTATGATCTGAGTGGGACAGAGGCTTATCTTTTTTACTCCAGAGTCATTTAGAGTAACCAACTGTAATACAGCATTTGCAAGATTTGAACTAAAAAAAATGGGTTGAATTTGTGAGCTCACCTTTGCCTGAGAGAAACTATTTATGAAGGGATAATGGTGACATTTTGTGGGAATTCAAATGAAGCATGTTTTAAATCATTTGCTGTGCATGTCATGATTTGTTATCTAAGTCATCTGATGTTATGTATTCTGTGACTAATTAGATGCATAACCATTTTCAAGTACTGACCATGTGCCTTTGGAGAAATGACATTTAAACTCTGTAGCTTTACCTTTCAAAGGTTAGAAAGATGAGTATGCATCAATAGAGAGAGAAAGGGAAGGATGATATATTCAATTAAATTTTTGTGCAGAAAATGCCTTTTTATTAATACATTATTATTTGCATGGGTTTTGAATAAGTAAAAGTTATGAAGTTCAAAACAGCATTAGTATTTTAGATCTTTTTTGTTTATCCACAAAGGAGAAACCACAATCTGAATATATATGTGTCATTCAGAATTTTTCCATCGCTTCTCATTGGTACTTCCATCCATCATTTGAGAAGCCACCTCCACCCTGACTGTGCAATTAGGCACAAAGGAGTTAGTGAAAGGTTGGTTTTAAGATGGACAGGATGGGAAGAGCTGAGATTAGCACAGCTCATGCCATGTGATTCGGCAGCAATAACACTGTAGGATCATGTCAGACATGGGGAAGTTGCCAGGTTTTGATTTACCTGCTAAAAACAGGGACAGAATATTAAAAAGAAACATTCCCTTCATGATGTATTTAGAGGTGATTGGGAAGATCTCGTTCATGAATTTCATGTGTGATGACATGCTTTCACTGTGGTATTAGTCAGACGTTTCACCATTGAATTAATTGTTATTACACCACGGAAAAAAACTCAAGAAAAGTTAGGCAAGAGCTGGTGCAGTATTTGTTCATAATGCAGAGGATTAATAGTAGGCTATAAAAGCTCCCTGTAAATAACCAGATTTCTGTGATGATAGTGAGAATCTAGAAGCAGCTCTGTAATGCTATTCAATCTTCACGTGCCAGAGCTCAAGAATGAGAAAGCCACCAGTAACAATACACACCATGCAAGGACTAAAGCAGGAGCTGATCTTCTCCCCCTCATGTGATCAGACATGGAAGTATAACCATGGTCTGGGCATCCTGCTTTTCCCACTGTCAGTGAGGAAGGGCAGGCAATCCATCTTGCCTCTACATGAGACACTGATTGATAAACTGTAGCTTATCTGTTGCTGTAAAAGATAGATTAGTGCAAGCCCAGAGAATTTTTGGGCTGGACAAGTTCCTCCATCCCAGAAACTCCGGTTCTTCTTAACATGAAATGGGGAGGACAAAGTAATTTCCTGTTTAAAGTCTGAGGTATTTGAGCCCCAGCAAACATGGTGAGATGCCTGCTTTGTGGAGAGATCGCTGTGATAATTTAGTTCCTGTCTGGTGCTTAAGGTGATAATTGGTGACTCATGCAGTCAGTATTAGCCTGCTAATAAAGAGAGAAGGAAAGTGAATGCAGGGCAAGAAATCACTGATATATGAATCACCTGCACTTTGCTTCTTCCCCTGCAAGAAGAATATAGTCAGGGGAAGTGGTTATAGTTCTTAATGTCAGGTTCATCAGGAAAATGTGATTTGGGGTTAGTGACTCTTCTGGGATATAAATCATCCACATTTTGGTTTTTTGTAACAGCCGGTCAGCGCTGACTGTAAAACATTAATAAGAGATTCAGGGAAATTTATTTTAGGCATATTAGCCTTTCCAAAGAGTAAAACAGAACAGTCCAATTTCTGTTTATAAAGGATGTTGTTGTTCATGTAACATTTGTTGTTTTGATTCATAATAGAGTTTCCCTGATTTATGATTTTTCTGTCAACATTGCCCTTCTCTTCTGGCTTTCATTTTTTTTAATAAAGATTTATTTCAGTTACTAATCAACATGTTTACAAAACACTCATTTAGGGCCTTAGAAGTCTGCCTTGTTTGGGACTGGGTCCTATATAGTTCAGGTGGCCTCCCCAATGTACAGAGCAGTCATCTCCAAACGTGTTCATCATTAATATCAGCACAAAGCAATTCTACACATTTCAGTATTAAATGTTCCTTCCTATTCCCAGCATTTGCAAGGGAAATGAAATTCTGAAGTTGTCCCACCTCACATAATTTCCTTCATGTCCTTTCATTGTAGACCTCAGAGCTGACTTTGAGTTTACAGGGAAATTGTATCAGTCACAGACTTTGTTCTGGTTGTTTGCAGAGCTCCCACCCCGGTCATACCAAGTGCCTTCCCCACATTCATGCTCTCTGTGAAGATGAAAGTATTTCTCTTTCAGTTTTTCGGCAGGAAGGGTGAAGCCATATATAGCAGCTTGACTAAGATCACTCATATAAATGCTTGGACTGCCCAGAGAACAAATCTCCAATTTTGGTAAATCTGCCCCTGCTTATTTGTCCATAACAAGGTATTCTTTTTCTCTTGTGTTTGTGCTCATATCCTGATATGAAAATTCCTTTATTTTTTCAGGAACTCTGAAGCTTGGTGCTCTCTTGGTGCTACCCTGCATGTTGAGTGCCTGTATAAGCAGCCCTTGCCTTTGAAAAGGGCTTTAAAATGTTCTGCATTTGTCTGTTTACAACTAAACCATTTTTAGCCCTGGCTGCCAAGAAAACCATTGTCAATCACAGATTAATTCTGCTAGGGAGTGGTTCTCACACTGTGGCTCCTTGTCAGACAAGGCGAATGTGGGGGGTTCCCTTCCTTTCGCCTGCCCTGCATTCCAGCCATTAAAAGGAAACTTCTTTGTAACCCAGAAGGTGAAGAATCCATACTTCCCTGCCAGTAATATTGTGGAGACTGATACTGTTTTCCCAGAGTCTCATTTTTCGCTCAGACTTAAAAATAGATTTCCCCCCCACACCCTTTGACAGGGAAATCACTGTACCAAATATCACAATACCAAACCCCTCTATTGTGTATTACTTTAATTGATCCCTTAAGTCTAAGGTATTGTAAATACTTTGGTGCAGGAAGAAACAGTTGGATCTATTTGTATAAACCTAGCAAAAAGAGGTCTGCATCTCCTTTGAACATGTAGTAAAAATAACATAGCTATATTTATAGCAAGGAAAGTTTGTGTTTGTAACCTTTTTGGTAATAGAAGGACAGCAACTCAGATCAATTCTAGCATGACATCAGCAACAAGCAAGTAGGCAAGACTTGCTGCAATGAAATAACACTGCAATGAATGTGTGTAAGCTCAGACATAATTACCTTAATCCTCAGCCAGTATGAGTTTTAGAGCCAGTTAATTTAATTGCTTATTCAGTTTCTGTTTGTTGTGCAGCGATCTCAAAAAAAAATCAACAATAAGCAGTCTCTCTGCTCTGCTCAAGTTCAAGCTTCATTAAGCACCCAGAGAAATGTGTGAAATTCTATAGTAATTAATTTTCTCTTCCTGCTCTAGGCATTGCTTTTTGCAAAGCAAGACAGGGAAAGACAGCACACACATTTGTTGCAAATCTCTCCAGGGAGTGGTAGAGATAGAAAGAAAAAAGGGGGAAAAAAAAGTGCTTTTAGTGGGAACACCCAGTGATAAATGTGTAATATTTTGGGCTGCTAAATCCACACTCACCCTCTACCCTCACCACCTCAGTTCAAAACAGAGACAAATCTTCCTACGCTGAGGAATTTAAACTTTTGCAGGGGGGCAAAAGCTCAAGGCATTTGCATCGTTCTGGTCCCATTACAGCCTCCAGAGTTGGCTTTAAGTAGGGTTTGATGATATCACAGACATTATAAAGTCTGCTCAAGTTGCCTTCTCACCAACCATTTGAATTGATAGAGCCACTGTATGAAAGGAGATGACTGTCCACCAGGGAACACTACCTCCATAGCATGTGGAATACCTGCATGGGCCACCTGGATTTTTTGGGTCTTCTTTACAGCCATGAATGACAGCATTTTTTATTTGCTTTGAAGTATTGCCTGTTTGACTGTTGGTTATTCTTTACTACCTTCCTACCAGATTTTAAACAATTGTTATTGACCCTTTTGTAGCTAGGCACTGGAACACAGGGTCTCACAGTCTGCTGCTGATATTGCTGGTGTCTGTCCAAAGGAGATTCAGTGATGCATGTTTCTACAATAGGAAATCCCAAAGAGAATTTGCCCCATTGCTTCATGAATAACTGAATTTTCCCTCTACTAATTTTCTGTGGGCACTTTTTGCTATATTTAGATAGCTACAAAGCTCTCCAGCAGAGGTCCAAGTACAGCTGGTTTGAGGTGGTTTTCTCTCTCAGTACAAGACATGAGCATTAACACCATCATATTTGATATTTGTACTTTTCTTTCATTGAAAACAAATGTGCTTCATATGCCCCACTGTACCACCCTTCCTCTCTCCTCAGCCACACTTCTAGACAAGTGTTCCTCAAGACCTGATGCTCACAGAGTGGAGCAACTGGGAGTAATGGCCTAGAGCAGTGAGGAGATATTGAAGCAATTTCCTTAGTCACTCTGGCAGCATTTTCCAGTGCTGTCCTGCAATACACCTCAAACCTTGTCCAGCTCTGGATTTTTTGTTTCCTGGGGTATTTTTTTTTTTGGTTGGTTTTTGTTTTAT